ACAAAGAAGCTGTAATTCTGGAGGAAGAAGGCGGAACAGACCCGTTTTAAAACCGGAAAACAGGAAAAAATGGAAATCGAAGGAGGAGATACTTAATGTGTTCACAGGAGAAAAAACATACAAGATGAAAATGATGATAAATTAATCCTTACAACTGACCATGTGAAACAGAGTTTCCACAAAAATAACATTCAAATAATAACTCAGGCAGTTGCTTATCAGCCCAAGTACCCCAAAAATCTATTTATAAAATAAGCTGCTGGCCGGAATATTGATCATTTACATCACCTGATCAACTGCAAAACACATGACATAACTCTCTAGCAACTGCATACACATATGGCAAGGAACACACCCCAAATACAGTGCATATTCTAGCATATTCTGAACACTGTTCATCAACATTCTAGCTACAGTACACAGCGCCCTAGCAACGTCATAGCAACATGACAACACACACAATATGAACACTACATCAACATTCTAACTACAGTCCACAGCACCCTAGCAACATGAAAATAAACACACTAAAAACACTACAACAACATACTAACTACAGTCCACAGCACCCTAGCAACATGACAATACACACACTATGAATACTGGTACATCAACATACTAACTACGGTCCACAGCACGCTAGCAACATGACAATTCACACACTATATGAACACTGTACATCAACATACTAACTGGTCCACAGCACCCTAGCAACATGACAATAAACACACTATAAACGCTTTACATCAACATTCTAACTATGGTCCACAGCACCCTAGCAACATGACAATAAACACACTATAAACGCTGTACATCAACATTCTAGCTACAGTCCACAGCACCCTAGCAACATCATAGCAACTTGACAATAAACACAGTATGAACACTGTACATCAACATACTAGCAACAGTCCACAGCACCCTAGCAACTTCATGGCAACATGACAGTAAATGCATTATGAATGCTGTTCATCAACATACTAACTACAGTCCACAGCACCCTAGCAACATGACAATACACACTATAAACGCTGTACATTCTGACTACGGTCCACAGCACCCTAGCAACATGACAATACACACTATAAACGCTGTACATTCTGCCTACAGTCCACAGCACCCTAGCAACACGACAATGCACACACTATAAACACTACATCTACATACAAACTACAGTCCACAGCACCCTAGCAACATGGCAATACACACACTATGAACAATGTACTGTACATCACCATACTAACTACAGTCCACAGCACCCTAGCAACATCATAGCAACCTGACAATACACACACTATGAACAATGTACTGTACATCACCATACTAACTACAGTCCACAGCACCCTAGCAACATGACAATACACACTATAAACGCTGTACATTCTGACTACGGTCCACAGCACCCTAGCAACATGACAATACACACTATAAACGCTGTACATTCTGCCTACAGTCCACAGCACCCTAGCAACACGACAATGCACACACTATAAACACTACATCTACATACAAACTACAGTCCACAGCACCCTAGCAACATGACAATACACACACTATGAGCACTGTACTGTACATCACCATACTAACTACAGTCCACAGCACCCT